TGGGGCCTCCTCTCGCACCAGAGAATGTGCCTCTTCCCCAGCAAGCTCCCATGGCCACGTGCCCTTCCCCCATCCAGACGCTGGCCCTTCCGTAGGAAGGTGCCATGGGACCCCGCAGCCCAGTTGTTTGGGGTGCCCCTGTGGAGCCCCCCCTCCACAGCTCCAGGCCTCCCCTTTGTGCAAATCAGGGAGACTGATTAGCCTATCAGCACAATCTGCAATCCGTGATCCCAGCACTGCGCTGAGGGAGGTTGTCGGGAGCCAAGCTGGGGAGGAGGACTGGGGCTGTACAGGGTGAGGGGGTCACACCACGGAGGGGATGACTGGGTTGGGGGGCCAGGTGCTGCTGAGGGATGGGGACAAAGCAGGGGGTTGCCCCCCCCATACACATATGCACCCCTTGGGCCCAGTTGGGTCAGATCTGGCCTGCATGAGGCAGGGAGAAGGGATACTCTTAGTCTGTTAGACCTGTGTGTCCCAATGGCCTTTCTTTCCCAACCAGGTGCAGCTGATCCACTACAACCAGGAGCTGTACTCCAATGCCTCGGAGGCTGCCCGCAGTCCCAATGGGCTTGCCATAATCTCACTGCTGGTCAATGTGAGCCCCCACCCTGCCCCCATCCAGGTCTAGTAGAGGGCTTCCCTGTCCAGCCTTTGTGAAGCAACCCTTTTAGATCTCTTCCCTTATCTGAAATGCCCCCACCTGACCCCTGTCCACGACCCCTCAACAGATCCGACTCTCCTGACCAACTGCACAAAACTGCCCATCCCCTCTGGAGGTCTTCCCAGATCTGCTCTGCCCAGCCTGCCTCCAGAGTGACCTCCCAGCCCCTCTCCTCCTCCCCACATCAGCTGATCTGGAGCAGGCCTGCCAGCTAACCCCCACTCCACTGGAAGAACTGCACAGAATACCCCCACCCCAGTCTCTGGAGCAACCCCCCCATGCAGCCTTTCAAAACTACTCCCTGCAGTCTAGCACTCCCCCTGACCCACTTCTGCAAGTAGCGACCCCTTCAGAGCATAGCTGCCTCTGCCCCCAGTCCTTTCTCTCTCAAGCAGGCCTTCTCCTCATCCATTTCCATGCCCTGTGGCCTCCCCCAGTACCCTCAGGCCTCTCCTGTCCCACCATGGGGGCACTGCTGCCTGTCCCACATGCCTGCCTAGGTATACAGCCCCAGATGCTGCCCCAGAGGTGGCAATGGCATGCCCTTACCCCACTTTCTCTCTGCAGATTGGGCCAAATTCCAACCCTTTCCTCAACAGACTCCTCAATCGGGAAACCATCACCCGGATCTCTTATAAAAGTAATGTCAGGGGGGCACCAGCATGGCTGGGCAGTGGTGGAATCAAGGACTGAGGGGGCAGGGGATTGCACGTTGGGGTGAGGGGCACTGGCAGAGTAGGTGGGGGGACAGGGGGCTGTGCGTCAAGGTGAAGGGCTGGTGGGGGAAACAGGGTCCTGTGGGTCAGGGTAAAGAGTACTAATTTCTGTTTCCACTCCCAGATGATGCATACCTGCTGCAGGACCTGCACATGGAGCAGCTGTACCCTGAGACATTTGGGTTCATCACGTACCAGGGCTCCATGACAGCGCCCCCCTGCTATGAGACTGTCACTTGGGTCCTCATCGATCAGCCCCTCAACATCACCTCTGTGCAGGTGAGGACCAAGTCTGAAGGACCCTCCTCATTTGCAATGATCCTGATTTCTGGGGACTATTCAAGGGGCCACCCCCTGGTTGATCCAGTCCCCGAGATCCCCACCCTGGGAACCAGGGCCTAACACTATCCCTTTGTGCCCCAGACCCCCTGTCTGGGCCTAGGGTCTATCCACCTCAGGGATCTGGGCTTCAGGGAGCCCCCAAAGGGAAATCTGCTGCCCCCCCCCACCCCCT